AGCGCGCTGACCCGACAAACAGCTGATCAGCTGTTTGTCGGCTCAGCGCAGCAGCCATGTAAATGTAAATGTAGCCGCGATCATTTGAATCGCGGCTTCATTTGCCTTTGCCTATCTGTCTAATCTACATGCCTCTGCCGACAGAGGCATGTAGTCTAGACACAGCCCTAGATTCCAGAGCTCATTATACCCATGGCTTTCTCCCCATGCAAGTCTCCAGTCGACCGTCTTTTTGATAAGGTTAATATATGAAGCTCTTTAACTTTCTCTCTCTGTCAGTCATTTTCTTCAGCCTCCGGTCATTTTTGTTGCTCTTCTTGGAACGCTCTCCAACTTTTGGACATTTTACTTCAATGTGACCCTAGAACTGGATGCAGACAGTTTCAGCCATGGTAAAATCCTTCCCCTGCTCCATTCCACCATCCCCGGCTTATGAATCCTCAGATCGCATCTGCCTTTTCCTCCCAGCATCACACAGGGAAAAGGAGACTTCCCGGGTCAGAAGGCTGAGCTGGAAAAGAAACAGTTTAGTGCGAGCTGATAATGAATCTGTAATAAGTTTGCACTGAGGTTTCAAAATAGAAGTCGAGAAATATTTTCTCTTATTTTGAGCTTGTCACCTACTTTGCTCATCCTGTTCTTGCTTACGGCCACTTCAATCCTACTGCTTGCACTTAATAAAATCACTTTTATTTTCTGTCTAGCCCAGTGAAAATCGGCCACTTTTCCGGAATAAGCTGCGAGCTGTCTACACTGGCCCTTGAATTTCTGGAAAAGCAACGATACTCTACTGTACAAAATCAGCCACTATTCCGGAAAAGCTACGCTGCTCCCGCTCGGGCATAAGTCCTTATTCTGGAACACTGTTCCGGAAAAGGGCCAGTGTAGACAGCCCAGTAGTCTTTTATGACGATCAGGGCTCTTTTCCGGAAAAGCGCTTCTACATTGGCCACAGATGCTTTTCCGGAAAAAGGGCTTTTCCGGAAAATCAGCCTGCCAATGTAGACGCTCCTTTTCCGGAAAAACTGAACACGGAATAGTATTCCGTTTTAAACAGTTCCGGAAATTCATGCCAGTGTAGACAGCCCCCCATGAGTTTTCAAAGGAGGCTCTGCAGTCACATCAGTGAACTTGCTGAGCACCCTCAGATGCATTTGATCTGGCCCCATGGAGCTGTGTGAATCATGAAGGTACAAAATGAGAAGGATTTGTTTGGTTTATTTTCAGTTTTACATAAGCCATATTGTTGACTGGCGTTAATGATATACCGAGATTTTTTTTAAAGAAAAACAATCAAAAAACCATGCCAGCTGTTCCATTGTTTCCTAATGTTGTCAAACATTTTTTTTTATTTTGAACTTATCCTTCTTTTTTAACAATTACATTTAACAGAGATCTGTTCTGAATTTGCCTCCTTTCTTGACCGGTGCGGGGGAGAGGTCTCTGGTGCTTGCTGCCTGATAGCCTATTTCTGGTTCTGAATGAGATGTGCGATTGATTGTTCAGTGCGTAATTCTGGTACTTGTAACACTAAGGTTCTACTGTACATGGTGTTTAATACCTTCCAGTGACAGCTAATGCACTGGGACGTGTTTCATCACTTAAGGTGACCTGAGTACATCGTAAGAGCTTCTTTCCCAATGCAGAAAAAATGTCTTGACCTTTTCTCCATAGTTAACGAATTTCCTCTCACCTTCTGGAAACTGGCCAAAACATTTTCTAAGGTACATTTTTTCCCAAATACAATCAATAGCCTCCTTTTTTTGTAGTACTTATCCCTACCAAGGGTTTTCCCTAATATTGGCCACATCCTTTACCACTTTTCAAAATTTCGTATTTCTATTCTTTGCATCTATTTTTGTTTTCTCCTGAGAGTTATATGGCACATTTTCTCCCTTAATTACTTCCTTCATTTAACCGCTGAACTGGGTTTCAGCCAAAGTATCCACTTTCTTAATCATGGAATCATAATTTATAGGAAATCCCAATTTTCATTCACATTTTCTGCCTAACTTTTCCTCCCAAATGGTTTTGCTGATGCTTTGACACAGCTTCGTGGAATGAGCCCTTTGGAGCAATTAGTCACTAGTGATATTATTGATAGGCAACTGTTCTCCGTTTCTCCACTTGAATGTAATGTAACGAGTCCTGTTTTTTATGTTCCTCTCCTCTGTCTGCCCCAGACCTCTCAGGCTGGCTACATATGACAGCTCCCCCATCCTTAACATTTGCGTCTACCTGCTGTTTCCTATACAAAGACTGGGTGAGCCAAACTAAGCACATAACCATTTCAGCTTTTTTTCCAATCCTTTCCTTAGGCAGCTGAACATGGTCTTTGTTGCAGCCAGTGCCATGACTTAGGTGTTGTTTCCATGGAGTTTTTATCAGTTAAGACCAGGTCTTTTCCCTGGAGTATATTTCCTGCTGGTGCCTATTAATGTTTGCAAACCATAATGTATAGAAAATAATGATGACTGGAGAATTACCAAACATAGAATTATTAGTGTTTATTGTTCATAATTCATGTCTCCAGATAATGAAAGTGCCATTTTTCAGAGTGTGAAGAAAGTACAAATCTCTTTCCCCCACGAGAACAGCCTCCAGTGGTGTATGTGGTATCTCATATTCACATTGTGTCCAACACAGGCAATTACGCTGTGACCCTGGACACGTACAGAAAGTCTGCGGAGTATCTGCTTCAAGTCAGAGGCGCTGTCTGCCTCAGAGTTGAATTGCTTCACCTGCCTCCCTCCGACTCCATGTCAGATTCCAACACAACTGCCTTCACCAACCCCTCTACCTTCATCCTGCTGGGCATCCCTGGCCTGGAGGTGGCTCATGTGTGGATCGCCATCCCCTTCTGCGCAATGTACGCCATAGCCATCTGGGGAAACTTTGCCATCTTATTTATTGTGAAGAGGGAGCCCAGTCTCCATGAGCCCATGTACTATTTCCTCTGCATGCTGGCCGTCACCGATCTTGTGCTGTCCACGTCCACCCTGCCCAAAATTCTAGCAAACTTCTGGTTCAATTCCAACGAGATCGATTTCAGTGCCTGTCTCACACAGATGTTTTTCATTCACTGCTTCTCAGAAATCGAGTCTGGGATCTTCGTGGCCATGGCGTTGGATCGCTACGTGGCCATCTGCCATCCCCTGAGACATTCCACTATCCTGACAAACTCCCTGGTGATAAAGATTGGCCTGGTCATTGTGTTACGTGGCAGCATTCTTGTACTGCCTTGTCCTTTACTGGCAAGGCAGTGGCCATATTGCAGAAGCAACATCATCCCCCACACTCAGTGTGAGAACATGTATGTGGTGAGGTTGGCTTGTGCGGACACCCGCATCAGTAGTTACTACGGCCTCTTTATGTTATCGTGTAGGTTTGGTCTGGATGTGTCTTTTATCACCCTTTCCTATATCCAGATCCTCAGGGCCATCTTCAGCCTTCCCACAAAGGATGCCCGGCTCAAGACTTTTGGGACTTGTGGCTCACACATATGTGTCATATCGGCCTTTTACATACCGACTCTGTTTGCCTCCCTGACATCCCGTTTTGGCCACAATTTGCCCCGTTATGTACAAGTTTTCATTTCCAATGTGTACCTCCTGGTTCCCCCTATGCTGAACCCCATCATCTATGGTGTGAGGACCAGAAAGATACGGAACAGGCTGCTCCGGTTCTTCACTCATAAAGGAACTAAAGTTATCTCCTCAGGTGGTAGCTCTCAGACAGAGCTTTGTGTGGGTGCTGGTTGGTGAGATGGTTCTCTTCCCTGATTCGCTGACTGACCAATCAAAGAAAAATTAAATTCCTTGCTGACTTAACTGTGCTTTCTCAGCCTGACATACTGGGGAATCTATCTGTGTACAACTTATAGGGTTGCCTCCTTTCTAATTGTATTTCTAATTTTAGCTGGACACCCCAGGTCTTGCCTTTGCCCCTCCTATTTCCTCAGAGCCCTACTCCCTCCCATTTCCTCCCTGCCACAAATCCCTTCGAGTCTCCAGCCACTTCTACGTCTGGTCCCTCAACTCCCCATACTGGTTGCTTATTCCTCTTCTGCCCCTCTGCCCGCTTGGATCATCTCTATGTTGGGTCCCTCTCAGGTGCCTCCTGGGCCCGAGGTACAACTCAGCTCAGTGTCGCACCAAACTGGCAGATTTATTAGCAACAGATGGTTGCAGGGATGGTGGGTGGCAGCAAACTGGTGAAATTCAAGTACGATAAGAAATGAAGCAAACCCACAATCTCAACGTATTTCTAGTGAGGATTGTAATGGAGCATTGTCGTAGGGAGAGTGAGAAACAGTCATCATGCCATGGCTTCTTTTATATTTTCTTCCAACCGGTTAGGAGCCCGTTGGCTGTGATCAGGGTTGAGCCGTTCCCGTTGTGCAGGACTGCATGGGAGAGGTTTCTGTTGCTCTCCGTTCCTGGGCAATGCTTGGGCATGTCTGAATTCCCTCAATAAACTGACACCGTTCTTTAGCCCTTCCATTGCTGTACCTGAAAGGTGGCTGGAGGGGGGATCCCAGCTTCCCCCCACGTTTCTTCAGCACAGACAGAGCCAGACTCCAGACCTGCCTAGGCTTAGGCCACCTGACAAGCTGTTCACACTCTGCAGATGGAGCCTTTCAGAAGGACCCCTCCTAAAGCCCCACTGAAGCCAGGAGGACAAGGGCTGAGAGAGGCAGAAGGATGAGTTCCTGTGTTAGCAGGCGAGGTGGGATGCTGGGCAGACACCAGGGCATAACTACACAGCTCACAACACACCAATAGCCTCATTATATGTAACTAGCACAACCCAGAGGAGCAAGACCAGCTCGGGCCCGGAGCAATGGCAGGAGGTGGTCAGCACTCCATGCTGTGGTCTCCCGTTTCCCTGCTTCCCTCCTGCTACAGGTGAGGAGGGGGCTGCTCTCCAGCCCTCAGAGTGAGAGTCCCCAGCAAAGAGCTGGGGCAGGTAGAGAGCGCTGAGAGGGATCCACTGGTGAACTGAGCCATCCCATGGCTATCTGGGGAGCGCTCTCAGCCAGAATGCTGATTGGGGGATGAAGTGAGCTGGGGGCAAATCTGGAACATTTTCCTCCATCAGCTTATCTGACAGCTCAGGCTATGTCTAGACTGCATCCTTCTGTCGAAAGGGGGATGCAAATCAAGCACATAGAAATTGCTAATGAAGCCGGGATTTAAATACCCCATGCCTCATTAGTATAAACGCGGCCACCACTTTTTTCAAAACTGATTTTTTTCGAAACACCCCTACCCCCGGCAGTCTAGACATAGATCTGTTGAAAGTAAACCCTTTTTTGACAGATCCTGTAAACCTCATGGCTGTGTCTAGACTGGCAAGTTTTTCTGCAAAATCTTCTGCTTTTGTGGAAAAACTTGCCAGCTGTCTACACTGGCCGCTTGAATTTCCAGAAAAGCACTGACGATCTCATGTAAAATCATCAGTGCTTTTCCGGAAAAACTATGCTGCTCCTGTTCAGGCAAAAGTCTTTTTCCTAAAGACTTTTGCGCAAAAGGGCCAGTGTAGACAGCATAGTACTGTTTTCCGCAAAAAAGCCCCGATTGTGAAAAAGGCGATCGGGGCTTTTTTGCGGAAAAGCGCGTCTAGATTGGGCACGGACGCTTTTCCGCAAAAATTGCTTTTTCCTGCCAATCTAGACGCGCTTTTCCGAAAATGCTTTTAACGGAAAACTTTTCCATTAAAAGCATTTTCAGAAATGCATGCCAGTGTAGACATAGCCCATGCCTGTAGAAACCTTTCTTGTTTCCCTTCACATCCCCTTGCTAGCTACAGTTTGAATTCCACTTAGGCCTTCCTGATCACACCCCTGCATGCTCAAGCAATATATTTCTACTCCTCCCTAGTCATCTGTCCCTGTTTCCACTTCTGGTCAGCTTCCTTTTTGTGTTGCTTTTCTTACTGCGCATTGGGATGGTTTCTTCCTGAGCCTTAAATAATGATTTTTAAAAATACAGCCAGGTCTCCTGGACTCCTTTCCCCTTCGTGTTAGCATCCCAGGGGACCCTGAGGGAGTCTGAGGTTGATTTTCTGCAGTCCAGGATGTGTATTTTGTTGTTCCCCTTTCTGCCTTTTGTTCGGATCCTGAACTTGACCATCTCATGATCCCTGCTGCCCAATTTGCCATCCACATCTACTTCCCTACCAATTCCTCCCTGTTTGTGAGCAGCAGGTCGAGCTGAGCATGGCCCCTAGTTGGGTCCTTCAGCAGAACAAGGAGCAATGGTCTCAAGTTGCAGTGGGGGAGGTCTAGGTTGGATACTGGGAAAACCTATTTCCACAGAAGGGTGGGGAAGCACTGAAATGGGTTACCTATGGAAGTGGTGGATTCTGCATCTCTAGAGGTTTTCGATGTTCTCCCCAACATTCTCCACAAACTCCCTGTGGCAATTCCCCACAACATGCCTGCTACTGTAAAAGGCCCAGAACATACTTCTGTAGGGAATAATTCCAGACACACTGGCTACGTCTAGACTGGTATGATTTTCCGCAAATGCTTTTAACGGAAAAGTTTTCCATTAAAAGCATTTGCGGAAAAGAGCGTCTAGATTGGCACGGACACTTTTCCACAAAAACACTTTTTGCGGAAAAGCGTCCATGCCAATCTAGACGTGCTTTTGCGCAAGAAAGCCCCGATCGCCATTTTCGCGACCAGGGCTTTTTTGCGCAAAACAATACTGCGTTGTCTACACTGGCCCTCTTGCGCAAAAGCATTTGTGCAAGAGGGCTTTTGCCCGAACGGGAGCAGCATAGCATTTCCGCAAGAAGCACTGATTTCAGACAGTAGGAAGTCAGTGTTCTTGCAGAAATTCAAGCGGCCAATGTAGACAGCTGGCAAATTTTTCTGCAAAATCATCTGATTTTGCAGAAAAACTTGCCAGTCTAGACACAGCCACTGGGTGCAAGTGAAAACAAGCAGAGGATTTATTGGTTCCCACAGCTGGTGGAGTACCACCCATGGGTTAACCTGGTTAGCACTAGTTAAATCAAAACATACATTAGATTTAATAGGTAGCAAATGGGTGGGATGGAAGTGATTTGATAGGTCTAGCAGCGAGGCATAAGGAGCACATAAGCCAATGGGCTACAAGGTTACACAATCTCTCTGCCCAAAGCTAATTAAACATATTGGCTATGTCTACATTGGCCCCTTTTCCGGAAGGGGCATGTTAATTTCACAGGTCGTAATAGGGAAATCCGCGGGGGATTTAAATATCCCCCGCGGCATTTAAATAAAAATGTCCGCCGCTTTTTTCCGGCTTTTAGAAAAGCCGGAAAAGAGCGTCTACACTGGCCCCGATCCTCCGGAAAAAAAGCCCTTTTCCGGAGGATCTTATTGCTACTTTGAAGTAGGAATAAGATCCTCCGGAAAAGGGCTTTTTTTCCGGAGGATCGGGGCCAGTGTAGACGCTCTTTTCCGGCTTTTCTAAAAGCCGGAAAAAAGCGGCGGACATTTTTTATTTAAATGCCGCGGGGGATATTTAAATCCCCCACGGATTTCCCTATTACGACCTGTGTAATTAACATGCCCCTTCCAGAAAAGGGGCCAATGTAGACGAGCCCATTATCAATAATACAGATAATTAATCCTAACAAGCAAAATGAGTCAACATAAACAAAAGGGACATGTTGATTGTAATTCTGTCGGCCGGAAATATAATGCGTCTACTGCGGGGGTGATATTGCCTTGGGTTGGCGCAGTTTTTGGGATACAAGCTTATTTTCTAGGAATAAAGCAGACAGTTAAAACAAGCCCCGCATGGCTTGTTTAGGCACCAGCAAGGGCCTTATCGAAGTGAGGCCCTTTTGGAATGTGGTTGCCAGGACGACCGGGGTCATGGTAGCTACTGTCTGTGTGCTTCCCAGGCCTGGCCTTAATGATTTAGAATTTGAATTCTCAGTTCTCAGCAAGATACCATGGGCTGCCTCAGTTTACCCCTACACTTCTAACAGCCAGGGCAGGGCTGTGCGTTGGAGCTGTCTCACTACCACCCAGCAGCCTGTGTAACCAGCCCTCTTTAGTGATATTACTCCTCTGTCTCTCCCCTAACCCTTTTGTGGTTTGTTTCACACTGTGGGGCTACGTCTACACTGGCCCCTTTTTCGGAAGGGGCATGCTAATTTTGAAAGTGGGAATAGGGAAATCCACGGGGGATTTAAATATCCCCCATGGGATTTAAATAAACATGGCCGCCGCTTTTTTTCCGGCCTGGGGAAAAGCCAGAAAAAAGCGTCTAGACTGGCCCAATCCTCCGGAATAAAGCCCTCTTCCGGAGGATCTCTTATTCCTACTTTGAAGCATAGATCTCTTATTCCTGTAGTAAGTTGAGGTCAGTAACATGGAGTCAGCAGGCCTAAATAGAGGCCTATAACATGAAAACAGCAACAGGCCTGCAATCTAGTGAGCAAGACTTTGGTTCAGTAACAGGAGCCAAGAAAGAGGCCCTATTGATAATTGTGTGATTGTGTAAGTTAGGTCGAGCATGGAAGGACACAGGAAGGTACTGGGTACAGACTGTGAGCCAAAGGGGAGTATTGGAACATCTTAAGAAGAAATGTCTTGGTACAAAAACTCCCAAAAAACTAATGCACACATCAACCTAGGTTCGGGACCAGGTCGAGATTGACAGCATGAAGGATAATAAGTAAGCTCCCCTTCCATAAGGTGAGGGGTGGTAACTATGCAATAGAGGGTGGTAACCTGGTGCGTAAAGAAATGATGTAAGTT